AACATAATGTAGACTGTTTGATTGAGTGATATTGGTAATGAAACCTTTGTTTTAAATATGCCTTTGAGATAGTAATGTAATTTTTTTTTTACCAGTTATCGATTGATATGATATTATTTATGGGTATTGATACATGCGAGACGAGAGGGTGACAGAAGCGTCTCGAGCCACCCGTAGCATGCTACATACCTGATCTCTACTCTATATATATGGTTCATTTGCAGGGGCTACTTGTGCTTTAGGAATGGCAATGGGCAGGTCCAGAGCGGGTATCTCGATATCCATACTCGTTTCATGACAGATCGAGTCCAGGTCGAGTAATTTATCATGGGGCGCGGATCGGGGCAGGTCGACCCAATGAGTATCTAATTTATGTGAAAAATATTAGAAATATTCGTTATTTTCATTAAAAACCCAAGAAAGAAACCATAATACGATGAAATGTTAGTTAAATTATTAGAAAAATTAAGGTTTTCACTTATTTGCAAGTTTATTATAGCTAAAATATGAGGTAATAAGAGGAAAATCCTAAATATTTTGACTAAGATTACATGTAATTTAGTCAAGAACGGGTCAAAAATGGGGAGGGTCGGGGCAGGACAGGTCGATGAGAGCTACCCATGCCCGCCCCGCCCCGCCTACGAGATGGATCAGATCCACCCCAAAACAGGCCAAACAGGTCGGGTAAAACGGGTCAGGTCAAAATTGCAATCCCTACTTGTGCCGGCTATCGTACGTTACAACTTTTTTTTTATTATATATAGCTAGAAATTAATTATGTCAGGTTAATATATATATGCTGAATTCCTTATGAATTTCGAGGCAGGACATCAGGTTCTGGCGCTAGTGAACATGTTTGTATACAATTGTGGCAAAGCCATGTTAATGTTTAACACACTAGGCCAACCAACACCAACGTGGTCCTGTGCCACTTATGTCTTTGCTCTGCCTATCACTGGTCATTTCCAGTCTCCCCCCTTTGTTTCTCTTTTTGGGTCCATTTTTGTTCTCACCAAAAGTTGTAGTAGATAGCTAGCCTGCTTCCGGCAACAATTATGATTTCATGTTTTGGAAAATAAGCTTATAATTGATGCTCTCTTTTATATTAGAAATGGGCACAAATAATTACCACAACTTCCTATTGGTAATATATAGGCAAGGGCTTGACAATAAGATTATGCGAGTCAAATAGGGGTGTTCAAATGGTTACCGTGGTAATAACCAAACCAATTAAGTCTAAATTTCATTAACCATGGAATAAAATATCTTAACCAAACTATGTAAATTAACATGAAAACCAAATCAACCAAATAACATTACATGAAAACAATTATCATGTTAATGAATAAAACATAACCATATGTTATTACTATAATTATATATAAGCATTAATAATATGACTAACCATTCATGATTCATATATATTAAATACATACCAATACCACTCATAAGGAAGTTAAAGCTCTCATACAAAACACTTAAACTATACATAGTTTGAGGTGACTGTCATGGCATTGTACGTAATCCTAAAGTGTAGTAGTTGTCCAAAATGTTTTGGTTTAGTAAATAGGCAGACCCGTTTATTTTTGTGACCCATAATGCTTTGGTTTGTTGTGCACATGGAAATAAAATAGGGAATCACGAAAGTTTAGTTTGGTTGATTGCATGGAACTATAAATAATTTTGTATATTAGGTGTATCATTAATTGGTTAATTGGTTTCATTGGGTAGCAGTGTTGAAACCAAACCAAACCACCTAAACCAAATAAGCTAAATTGTTTAACCAAACCAAACCAATTATCCAAATTAACCAAACCAAATTAACTGAATACTACCGGTTAATATGGTTACCACGGTAACCAATTCGTTTGAACACCCCTAAAGTCAAATAGTTGATCGAGGAACAATTACTCTCTTTTTAAATGTCGGTAACTAGCAACTGCCACGATTTTTATCGATGGTTTATAGAGGTCGAATCTAGATGAACTCCATTGATATATAGCACAGGAATGAAACAGATAGCTAGTACGCAAGTCTCTTACTTTTGTCAATTTTGTATCTCCTGTAGGAATATAAAACTTCGTGATCAAGGGCGTGCATGAATGTTGTAATAATTACTAGCTTAGTTTGGCCCTGCGGTAGCTTTTGCATAAGCAGCTTCTGGCCGGAGCTTTTAGATAAGTACTTTTCAAAAAAAACAGTTGAGTGTTTGGCTCTAAAACTATTAGAAGTACTTTTTAATATAAAGATTGTGTAAAATGACTATAAAGGACTTATAATATAAAATATGAATAAAAATCTAAACAATAAAAAGTAAACAAAATGGATCTTGTTAGATTTCTTTTATATTAAATAATATGATTTTATAATTTATTTTATTTTTAAAATGATATAAATGAAGAAAAATTATATTTCCTGAAATAAAATTAGAATATGATAAGGATAATCTTGTATTTTCAAAACAGCTTTTCGCAGAAGCTCCAAATCAGAGCTTCTGCTTTTAAGTTATACAAAAGCGCTTTTTGGCTTTTCAAAAGCCGAGCTTTTATAGGTGTTTGGCCCTGCTTCAGTTTTTGAAGTCTAAAAGCACTTCTAAAAGTCGGGCCAAACATAGGGACTGAAGGATCGATGTCCTCGATCGATCAGTTTCAGTTCCCAGGATATATATACCACAAGCTCACAGAGGAAAAAAAAAGGAAAAAATCCCAAAATACTCTAATTATTAAAAAAAAATCCCAAAATACAGTACTTATAAACTTATTTCCCAAAATACAGCAGTTTCAACATCACTGTTGTAGACCAAGATAGTGATTGCAATCACCGTTTTTGACCAAAACGGTGATAGCATCATCGCTTTGAACAAAAACAGTGATGCTATCACCGTTTTGGACGACGGTGATGCTATCATCGCTGTGGACCAAAACAGTGATCCAATCCCCGCTTTGGTGAACAACGGGGATTACACGACCGTTGATAAGAGACGCGGTGAAGAGATCTTCACTGTTGGATTGAAAAGCGGTGAATAGGCGCGGATCGCTGACGTGGACGCGCGCGGGCACTTCACTGTTAATGACTAAAGCGGTGATAGCCCCGCTTTCCACGTCACCGATCCGCCCCACCCGCGCCTTCACCGCTGCCGTTCGATGCAGTGAGGCGCGGATTGTGGTTTTTCTCCACGATCCGACGCCTAACATCTATCATATCATAATTAATCTAAATATATCATAACATATTTTCCAATAACCGCAATTCACTAAATACAGACATATAATTACTAACACATCAACATGTAAACAATACATAATTATAACATACAGACTCTCGATCTATCATGAGAAAACTAAACAAATTCATCTAAATTCAGTACTAACTAACTAACATCTATCATATCATAATTAATCTAATTATATCATAATATATTTTCCAATAACCGCAATTCACTAAATACAGACATATAATTACTAACACATCAACATGTATACAATACATAATTATAACATACCGACTCCCGATCTATCATGAGAAAACTAAACAAATTCATCTAAATTCAGTACTAACTAACTAACATCTATCATATCATAATTAATCTAAATATAACATATTTTCCAATAACCGCAATTCACTAAATACAGACATATAAATTACTAACACATCAACATGTAAACATTACATAATTATAACATACCGAATCCAGACGAGTTTCTTGAGTAGTAAACCAACTCCAAACCAGCTGAGAAAACGACTAATAAAACACTAATTTTTGTACTAATTTTCTGTAAAGTAGCAAGAGGGGAAGTGGAGGTCAGTATTTATAGGAAAAAACGGCAGCAATCACCGCTGAGGACAATGGCGGTGAACACATCACTGCTTTTGTCCAAAGTGGTGATAACTAGGTCGACGTGACCTAATTTCCCACCTACCAGGGCTCTAAAACGTGGTCAATTATCACCGTTTTGGTCCATGGCAATGATGTGATCGCTTTCGTCAACGGCGATGATAAGGTCGATTATCACCGTTTCGCACAAACGCGGGGAACTCATCACCGTTTTGGTTGAAAGCGATGATGATATCACCGTTTTTGACCAAAACGGTGATTGCATCACTGTTTTGGTTAAAAGCGATGATGCTATCACCGTTTTGGTCAAAAACGGTGATTGCCATCACTGTCTTGGTCTACAACAGTGATGTTGAAACTGCTGTATTTTGGGAAATAAGTTTATAAGTACTGTATTTTGGGAATTTTTTTAATAATTAGAGTATTTTGGGATTTTTTCCAAAAAACACACATAATCAAGTCTCCCATCCCATGATTGACAGTCTCCGAAATGACATTTTATTTATCACACACAAACTTTTGATTATTGCACCATTACTATTTGCAAATAAGGTGTTACTACAGCTAGGCTGCAAATGAGCCAACCTGCTCGCGAGTGGCTCGGCGTTCGACTTGAGAAAAGCTCGTTCGAAATTTGGCTCGTTAATAAATGAGCCGAACATGAGCTAAGTTTTGTTCGTCTCGTGAAGCTCGCGAGCTAGCTCGACTAGGTGGTTTGTTGAGCTAAACTCGTGAGCTGGCTCGTTTAGAGCTCATGATATGTCTCAACATGTGGCTAGAGAGCCATCTCGATTACCGGCTTATGGATGAATCAATCTATATCTTATGATTTTAATTCATATGGTTGTTAAATTATATATCTCACCATATATAAAGTTTAACAATATATGAGCAAATATATCTTATTTTCTACTTTTAAAAGAAATTATGTTTCATAGATTGCTTCGATACTATGAAATAACATGATATGGAGTAGTTAAAAATTATTAACTAAATGATATATGATACCAACAAAGTATAATATGAGATTAGCTAACAAAATAATACATATGTACCATGACATACAAAATGAAGTGCCAAATAAAAGTCAAGATTTTAGTAAAAAAGCTAGCTCGAGCTCGACTCGACTCGTTTATAAACGAGCCGAGCTCAAGCTGGGGTAAAACTTGACTCGGCTCGGCTCATTTGCAACCCTAACTACAGCTTTACAGGCTTCTTTCCAGTGTGTTCTGTTACTCTTCGTGTCTCGTAGCTGTAACAGGGTTGCACATGGCAAAGCAAGTTCTTGACGGTGAGTCAGACACTTGTCGACTTACATATTTTCTTTCTTACTATTTTGTAATCTGACCTGTAAAGTTTTTGTATATTTGCCTTATATATGTTGCTTTTCTCTTCTGGGATAACTATGACAAAAGAATAAAAAAAATCATGTCTAACGACGAAGTTTTTACAATGATAAATACAATTAAGCGATTAGAGTCGTTGCTATTGTTTAATTTAATACGATGATCATCAGTTCAATCAGCATAGAACCAGCTCTAAATTCTAAAAATTACTTGAAGTATTTATGATGAATTCAGGGGCGAACCACCCATTTTGAAGCGCAAAATGACTCCTTATAGATGCAGCTAACACACATCTTATTGGTGAACAATGTAAATATTTGTGTTTCTACTTCTTGCATTATCGATTTTTCCGTTCCGTTCTAACAAATATTACAATAATAAAAACTTATACGTAGTACAGTCATACACACTGGGTTCCTACACATACAATAAATGTCACACTTTTGTCTAAAACCATTGGCGCAGATCATGGTGGTGGTTGACAATGTGTGGACATAATTATGTAGAGAGCATATAATTTCTTTGTTTGGAAGCCAAATTTGGCTACGCTCCACAACATCTTTTGGATACCTTTTTCTGAGGAAAAATGCACAATATTAATAAACGTCACCCACATTGGCCTTGGTGTGATGAGTTGTTAGGTTGTTTTTGAAGTTTGTTACATATATTGAAAAAAGAAAACCTCTAGCATGTCCATTTCCTGTGCAGCAAGAGAGCTTTCACTGTACATCGTGACCCATTTGTACTGTTTCGACTTGGAAGGGACTTGGGTGTGGGCGGCTGTTTGGTGAGGATTCATTGGAAACGGATGGAACTGGCTGAGTGAGTTGGATTTTTACCATAGTTTGCTTCTGGTTGGGGTTCCTTAGCTTCCCCTCGCACGTGTTGATCACACGGCGGCTTTACTCGCCTTGGGGTTGGCAAACTGTAGCTTCTATTTGTCTTTTCAGGGATGGGAGAGATGCCCGTTCCGCTCAGCTTTTTAGTTAATCGAGGCTGAGCTCTGGATGAGGCAAGTAAAGCTGATAAACTTGAGGAGACTAAGTTGTTTGGTGGATTTAAGTACCACGTAGCTCCTTTACTTTGGGCCACTTATTTAACCTACCTGGCACAGTTCTCTATACCAGAGAAGTCTTCTTGCAAATAATGGCTCTTTATCTCCCCTCAATTTGTTTCCCCAACAACCAAATCCACAGAAATCGACTTTCATTTTTCTCATCCCTTTCTCTCCCTCTCCTCTCCCAACTGCGAGGGTGCGACCGGACACGGGAGCATATTATGCCGAGACAATGAACGCAGGAATCCTACCAGTTACAGGTTTGTAATACTTTGTTTTCCTAGGTCTGATGTTGAGTCTTTTGTGGTTCTGATTTTTTTTATTCATTCTAATTCATGACACACTATGAGGACCCGGCGACGCCAACAACAAAGATGAGGGGGGTTTATTACTGTCGTTAAAGGAGTTGCCTGATCTCTCAATCTTTTTGTTACGGTCGCAAGACGGTTCAGAGGAGATTTAGATCCTGAGGTTTGTGTTTCTCTCAATCTTCGTAGGAGATGACCGGAGTTAGAAGTGTTCAGGAGATGGGCTTGGGTGGACCAGCGAGGAACCAGCAACCTCAAGATCGGTCGGTTCCATTGATGGTTTCAGGTGATTGTTCATCCTCTTCTGATTTGTCTGTTTTCCTCACATTCTTCACTTGATTCATTTTCTCATTCTTTCTTTCTTTCTTTCTTTCTCAAAGGGTTGTTTTTTAAATTTCTTTTCATTTTTTTATTATTCTGCTACTACAGCCATTCGAAGAAGCAAAGGACGGAGCTTTGCATAAGATTTGATGCACCATTCAGCTGCGAGACTCCCATTGGTAAGTCTTTCTTTAGTTGTTGTTGATTTGTTCGATTCCAGTACTTCTATGCGCCAGATGTATATTCTTTTCCTTTTGATGGATCGGAGACTATTGATGTGTTCTCTTCTCTTTCATCTGCCACTTGGAGAGTCTAGGTTGCCAATTGGATTTGAGGAGTGCAAAGACAGATCAGAGAAGAGGCAGATCCGTGGGTTTTCAATGATGTTGTTTCATCTATTTTTATAGATTGGTTTGTTCTATATCTTCCTTTCTCTTAAGTTTTGTTTTAGAAGCTTCTTAGGAGTAGCTGCAACTGTCAAGTTTATTTCTTCTAGGTAGAATGGTAGGCGAACTTAAGCAAAAAGATAGCAATAGAAGGGGATTGATCGGCGGGTATTCACGATCTGCTGCTGGATTTGTCAATGAATTTGGGGCACACAGAGGTATCAAAGAATTCAAAACTGTCTCTGGATTTGTCAATGAATTTAAGGTAGTTGTTCTATATGTTGAGTTTCGGTTCTCTGTCTAATTGCATGTGCTCTTCCTCATTTTCTTTCATCAGTTTGATCTCTCATGGTGTTAGGTACCAGCGCTGATTCCATTGAAGAATCGAGTAGACATGAGTGGTGTTCTATACAATATGGAGAAGAAGCTTATGGTGGCCTAGGCACTGGCTTGGTTTCATGTTATTTTATAGTGTTTTCTCTTTTCATGGATGGTTTGTCTTCTCTTATTCGCCAATAGGGGTCTGTTTGATCGTTTTATAGATGAAATTTTGGTGACGTTTTGGTTTTAGGGATCCCAATCTTCCAAGTTGTTCTCTGAAATCTTTAACTATGTTGCTTCTTGATTCTCTCCATTTTTGTCTGGGTTTGTTTTTTATTAATTGCACGCTGGACTTTTGGACGACGCTGAAGTGGTACAATTGACCAGAGTAAAACAATCGGGAGTTGTTCACTTTAGTTAAATCTTCTGTACAAGTACTTTGAATTCTGGAATTCAGCTGGTTTGTTCTTGCTGGTTTTGCCATGTTCATTCATGTCTTATAAACAATAATTGAACCACAAAATGGAAGAATACAGGACAGATCTCGGTCCTAAATCCTAATTACGTTGGCAATAAAATTGGGTGGATCTAAGAACAAGCAAGTTGGGTGGGCAACATTATTTGTGGGGTTTTAAAAGTTTGATATTACAAACTAATAACTTGGTACATGCGAACATGCAATTAGTTATTTTGAAAAATATAGATAATTAGTACAAATTTAAGAAGTTTCAATCTAATTGATGAATTAAGTCTGAGCTTCAAAAAGTTTGCTTAGAATAACCTATATCAATATAGAAACAACAATATATAGTGAACAAAGAACATTTTATGACATGTTCCTATATATCTCAAGTCCCAGCGCGAAGCGCGGGCAATGAAAACTAGTGTACCATTAATGGCAGCGTCCACATGTGGATCGAGGGAGAGACCGCGCCTCGACATCCCTCTACCTCGGCATTTAACAAGTTGGGTACTTTAGCACGCAGAAATTAGCCACAAACTGCAACTGCGATGGTTGATTAAACGTTGAATTCATCTCTTTATGGTAGAATTTTTGTCTTTTCACTTGGAGAGAGAATAGATAATTATGTTTCTTGGTTCGCACGTTTTTAAATATTGTTCACACGAGAGTCTTTGATACGTATGCGAAAAAGAATTTACGTTACTATTATCTCTACTCTTATCATACAATAAATGAGAAGCGTAATAATGGCGTTACTATTTCACAAAAAAAGTAATATATTAACACCAACGGATGTCCAAATTCGTATTCTATAGTGCCTCCGACAATATCTCTACTTTAATTAGTTCCACTACTAGTGCTTCGAGCTTCTTTCGAATGGGGTTGAAGTGCCCTTAATGCTATTTTTTACTATCTAGAAAGTAAAGATTAGTAGCTTAAATTGGTTTAAATGCATAATAAAATATTATCTAGGAAAATTTCACCTAATGCAACCAATTATCCTCAATGGAGAACACATTGAATTAAGATCGATTGCTTTAGATTTATCTCAATTCAATCTTACAAGGATACATGCCCTGCCCGCAAGGTCTTGTCATGTCACGGGTGTTATTATTGCTATCTTGTGTGCGAGGTCTCTTTATAACACAAAAAATTTATGAAGATTTGATATCACCTGTAGCATATTTAGTAGAAAAACTCGAGTGTCTCTTATTTGGTGATCCAGTGATTGTCTAGGAGCAAGGTCTTGTCATACATAGAACAATTATCGTTTATCTCTTGTGTACCAATGCATGTTCGAGGTCTCGTCATGCATGCATTGGGGCAATTGATACAAATTATCATGCATGTGTGATGTCTTATCTTCCATTTAGAATAAGGAGGTAAGCAAGCCAAGAGTGATAAATAACAAGAATGAACTTAACGTCGATATCTTATTACTAAGAAAAAGTATAGATACACATAGGATCCACCCCCTAAATTATATGCATTGCTTAGCTCGATATCGAGAGGGAGTGTGCATACATAGTTGTTCTTATCTCGTGCGAAACTAAACTACAACAGAGTTTAGGATCATGGAATCCTAGCAGTTCACCTCTTAATGGACATACTTTAACCAAATGCGATTATGAAAGGCTTTACGTTTGAACCAACCCCCTATTTTAACCTAGTCCCCAAAACCTAAAATCTAAGGTACGGTTATAGAATTTGATACATCGAGTTTTCCTTCCTATGTGGTTGGCGATTCTTTAGGATATGCATGATTATTACTTTCCGATGTTTAAGTGATAATTTTAATATGAACCTTAAAATCTTATGATTTTAAACTACGATTCTGATTTTAACTCAGTTTTTTATTTTACGTAAAATCTCAATTTTGACTACATTACCTGTGGGTTCGAGTTTTGTTTCCATCCCTATCGGCTCATGCCTGACACGCTCCCCCCTCCCCCTGGTGAGTTCCTTTGCCTCCCCTTGATGGTTTCCGCGGGTTTTGAGTTTTCACCATTTTTAATCCATTGATCCCCTTATACAAGGAAAGGGAATGGTTCCAAATTTTTGAATTTCTGGCCCAGCACTAAAATAGTCTTAGAAGTGAAAAAAACTTGGTCCGAAATAGTAGTAGGGGTGGACAACAGAAAACGGGTATTTGGGTATACCCGTACGGCCGTACCCATCCCATTTTTTTAGGGTTACGAGACCCAAATACTTATAATCTTTTTTACGGGATGGGACATAGGATCAAGAAGTTCTACTAGATACCACAGGTTACCCGTACTACCCAACCACCCAAATTATATGGGTCAAACTTTGTTAGTTGCACAATGCACCACATATTTTATTCCCGCTCTAGAACATTTTAGGTTCCGTTGCATATGCCCTTGAACTTTTGTTTTCCAGCTTTGGAGTGTTCACCATTCTTCATCCATTGATCCCCTTATACAAGAAAAGATGGAGTTCTTTTGAATAGTATTGTAAGTTTTCTATGGGGGAAATAAGTAAGACAGTTTGCTTTTAGACTCTACATGCAAACATAGGAACGTGACTTGACACGGCTACACCGTTAATTAATCCAGACTAGAGCCCAAGTTTTTAAACTCTAGTCGGGTGTAGTATAGGGCAAGTGTGTTTTAATTGTCAAACCCGGCCGGTCCATGTACCCCTACTTCAATCGCTTAGTTGTTATCTAGCAAAGGATTTTGGGTTTAAAACTAAGAAAACTACAAAATAAACAAACAAGTACAGTAAATCGAGGTTGTCCCAATGAGAGAAGAATTCACCCGAGTATCGCTACCCCTAGCTACACATCAAGATCGACCAAATCGAATGCAAATGTCTGGAGGTGTGTTCATACACTATAGGAGGGCACAACAAGTGAAGGAAACCTCACTTGCTCAATCAATCGGTTAAGGAAAATAATTAAGCTAAGAACTTTAGCTCTCTCAATCAATGGATTAAGGATTGCTACAATAAACTAGGAAGTCTAGCTCTCTTAACCTTTCGGCTAAGGTTTGCAACAACAATCTAGGAGTACTAGCTCTCTTAACCAATAAAATTAAGGGTTGCAAGAACCAATCACTCGAAACTTAATCCGAACGGCAAAGTAACACCCAAGTTAAAGTGCTAAATCGAAATTTGAGGTTTTTCCTAATTTTTCCTAGGTAAGTGACTCAATTGGCCAATGAATCCAGCTTATCAAAGCCTCCTAACAAAAAGGGGAATTCCCTCTACCTAGGTCAAATTGGCATAGTAATGAGAGATGAAGAACACAACCCAAATATCATGAAAATATCTAAAACGTTGCATTAAACACAAACTCACACACACAAACAATCAATTAATACAATCTATCACATTCCGTAGCTATATAAGGGAAAACAAGAGAGAGGAGAGAAAGAACCATGAAGAGATGACAATCTTCTTTCCTTGTTGCTTGAATCTCCCTTGAGAGGTAAGAATCTTCACTCCTCTAGTTTAGGACAAGCCCAAATCTCCTTCTTTCTCCTTTGAGTGGCACTTTCTCTCTCTATAATAGGAAGAGGAAATCCTAATCTATTTAGAAACCCCCCCCCCCCCCCCCTTTATTCTGAAAACTAAAATGCTAGTAAAAGCTCTCCTTTTTTTTATGAACAAAAAGCTCTCCTTTCTCTCTCCCAACATCCTTCTATTTATAGAGCTGGATAGTCACTTTTCATGTTCAGAAGTCACGGCCGTGACATTGGAGCCCTGACCGTGATATTGGACCAAAACGCAGGTTTCTAGTGTAGTTTTGGGTCCACATCACGTCCTAGGGATGATTTTCACGGTCGTGAACACACCGAGGTCCAGTGAGGTGCAAAAACCTCATGTTTCCATCAGACTTCACGCCCAATGATCAATTGTCACGGTCTGGTGACTGTGACATTTGACCTCTGCCCTTGACCTTGAATTGTCATGCCCTCTGATCAATTGTCATGGTCTGGTGACCGTGACAATTGACCTCTGCCCATGACCTTGGATTGTCCTTCACTTTACTTCACCTTTTTGGCGCTTTATCGAGTCCAATCATCCTGAAACTCGTCATCGACCTTCCCACACATGCTAGGACCTGAAATGTATAAAAAATAACACAACCTAGTGTAAAATAGGTTGAGAGATGACCAAATGCATAGTCAAACTATCAAGAAATGAGGGGGTAAAAAGTGTACAATTAGACCCAAATCAGAACACTTACCATGTCAACCACCTGAGGCCCATAATAAGGTTTATCAAGACAATCCTAAGTCCTAACAACATGGAGCCATCGAGCCCATAATTCTTAAAGCCGGAAGCAAATTTATAGTCCACTAGACGTCATTTTTTCCTGGCGTTGTGTTCTCACAAAACTAGATGGTGATCGCCAGGATCAGAGTCGCCGCTAGATGAGTCTCTTAGTGGAGTGGAATTCTCCAAGACCAGTAAAAAGGAACCGGAGAAAAAGCCCAAATAACGAAAACACCCAAATTTATGGATTACCAACAAGTACCCGTTATCCATCCCGTACAGATAATGTGTACATGTTAACCCATACAGAATTTGAGACATGGAATGAAATTTTCTCTCCAAATGGCTGGTTACCCATTTCAAACCACCCCTAAATAATGGAGGGAAAAAACTTGACTTGGCGGAAATTGATTCACTAAGGCCCGGCCCAATCCATTGATCAGCTTTCAGCACCAGTCCGTACGTATATTTAAATAATTTTTGTTGGACAACTTATGACTTAGGTGAGTTATTAATCCAATGAGAACGAGGATGAGAATGTTTCTCGATCGTTCCATAAACATTCTTCCCCGCTCCCAAACGGCGGCGTTTCCCTTTTCCCGTCCTCTAAGCGCCTCGTTTTGTCGTTCCCTCTTTCACCCGCTACACTCGGTGGCTGCTCAAAGAAACGAATCCACCTGAACATGGCCGCTCGGAGATTCTCGGTCACCTGCAACGGCTTCACTTTCGACGTCGATTATGACGCCGGTGACGGCTTTCAGGTATCCTTCCTGATCCAGTCCCCAATCTTTCCATCCATCTGTCAAAATTCTCTCTCTCTCACTCTCAATTGTGGATGGTTCTTTTCCAAGGTTTTCAAGTTCCAGCTCTTTTCCCTCACCTCAATCCCTCCAGACCAGCAAAAGGTTCCTCTCTCCTCCTCATCCTCCGTATCGCCGTGCTTTTTGTGTGCGTTTATGTTCGATGTTGATGGCGGCGGGTGTGTGTGTAGATCATCGGAGAAGATGACGGCTCCGTTATATCGGATGATTCTGATCTCTTGTCCTCCTCCGGGAAGCTGAAATTGGTGTCGATCGACGACGAAAAACACGATGAGGAGAGCAGCGCGCGAGGAGAATCGGGCGATGATACCAGTTCTTTCCTCAAAGCCGACGAGGAATTCGCGCGAATGCTTCAGGTCACAATCTGTTTGGGGGATTCTCCGACTTACAGCTTCTTTTTATTCTCTGGGTTCCGATTTCGGAGACTGATTAGGCGAGGTATTTTTGTACCTCAGGCGGAGGAAGAGGCGTTAATGCTGCAGCATGTTGTAGCTACTGAACAGAGTGAACAGTTTGAAGAGAGGCTGCGGCCATACGTCGATAAAGTCCTGCTGGTAAACCACTGATTCACGGTTTGTTTGAAGATTCTTATCTCAGAATGGAATTTTAGGCACAAAAAAGGGAATATGTTTCCTTGTGGTTGTTCTTTGTTATATTCATCAATTAGCGACACTAGAGAAGAAATGGAGGATGGAGCGTTCACGCCATTTGATTTTTCTTTGAACAACAATGACATGGGGATGGATGTTTTGAATGATGTGATGCTTTGCTTAGTAGTTGGCCAACTATTGATTATGCAGTATGAGGATCCAGTACGCCAAGAGGCAGCTCGGAAGACGGTTCCTGTCGATGAGCTTGAGGAGAAGGCATTGGTTTCTTTGGCCAAGGTAGGACCTTGTGAAAATCTGTGGGATCTATTGGCCCCTCTATTTTTGCCCTGTCCTTCTGCTACTTGAAGTAAAGTTGGCAGCTTTAAAATTTTCCCCGAGTGATTCTGCTGGTCTGACACTGGTAGAAGAGTTCCAACTTGCTGTGACTTTGTAGTGGTTATTTAGAAACTAGTAATACATTATGCAGTCTGCACTCAGGGGAAAGAACTATGTCGACCATGGTTGCATAAGCAGAGAGCTGCACGGAACTAGATGCTGAGAGGTTAAGGCTCATCGATGATTTAGGGGAGACAACCTTCTCACCAGCCTTCTACTAACGGACATTTTTTTCCTCGAAAGGATTGATCTGCTTCTCTTCTTTTTGAAGGAAGATACTTTTGTAACTTGTGTTATAGCTGTCGTAGGACTTGTATCCTTCTATTAGTGAATGGATTTTTCTCTCTGTCCTAATCTTGATGTGAAGTTTTTCATTTACTATGGGTATTTTGGAGTAATGTTGAACTCTTCTTAGAAGAAACTTAGTCACCTTGCTATGCGGTAGCTTTTATGTTTAGGGCTTCTTCGTTAAGATCGTTTTGAGGTGAGAAATTTCAATGAATGACTAGAACTGCATAGTTTTTAAGAACGACAATACTAGTTGCATGCATCAATCGTGTAAACTTAAATATTTAAAAGGTCCACAGTCTGCAACTTGGTAATCCGAACAGTAAATATATTTCAGGAAGGGAGGTTTAAGCCAACAAAGGCTGAGCTAGACCATGCTTTCCTACTCCAGCTGCTTTTCTGGTTCAAGCAGTCATTCAGGTGCCATTTTTACTTCTTTACAGTTGGTACATGATTCTTTAAGTTGTAGTAGGAGCTCCTAATGGTTAGTCAATAAGTTCTGCAATATGAAATGGGATAATCAAGGAATTACTTCTCTGCCGTCATTTTAGGTTCCATATACAGTCCAAGAGTACATCAGAGAAGTTTGTGTGCTAGGGCACTAAGTATACTCTTGTCCTTAATTGTCATTTTTGGATTTTCATATAGGTGGGTTAACGCTCCTCCTTGTGACTTATGTGGCAATACTACTGTTAACCAAGGAATGGGTGCTCCTCTTCCCTCTGAAACAAAATATGGAGGGACTAGAGTTGAACTTTATCGGTAAGTTCATTTTATTTCTAACTGGTAGATCAACTGTATATCATCATTTTATGCACTGTAAGTCTTATGGCTCTCCTTGGGGCCTATCAAAATGATTGGATGTGGAAAGTAGTTTGAACACCACTTTCCCATCCCCAATCGATTACCCAACCAGTTGACTATTTTCTTCCCCTGTCTTCTATCTAGCTGTGATTCTTGTTCAACCACCACTCGCTTTCCACGCTACAATGACCCCTTAAAGGTAATTTTTGTTGCTGCTAAATCCCATAAGGGTACTCCTAGTTCAGACTGAATTTGCTTCACAGTTCAATATCTTGAATTTGCGTGCTTTTACTTATATTCTTTTCCTTTATGAGCGTAGCTCTTGGAAACTCGAAGAGGTCGTTGTGGGGAGTGGGCCAACTGCTTTACACTTTACTGCCGTTCATTTGGCTATGAATCTCGTCTGGTTAGTGTGTTCTCTATATTGCAGACATACAAGAAGAGTGACTTCATCTAAAATTTCAGCTACTCCAACTTAAATTTACAGCTCAATTATGCAAACCAGCCCAATCATCTTGTTTCTCTTATTTATTTTCGGTAAACAGATCGTCTCGTTTCTTACATAACCTAATTGAACAAGCCTCAGTCAAATTAAGTTTGATTTGGCTTTTGGTCTGCTCATGTGTTGATGAAGGTCCTTTCGCGTTTTGGCTTTTGTAGATAATTACTCCTGACCATTTCCCTTATGCACCCAGATTCTTGATTTTACTGACCATGTCTGGACAGAGTGCTACTCCCGAGCTTTGGGAAGGTGACCTTTCATTAAGTAATAAATGAGCAACTCTTGATTTATACCTACACAAACTAATGCTGTTCTGAACTAACAAAAGGACTTATTTCCCAGATGGATGCATCTCGACCCATGTGAAGCTGTTTACGATAAACCACTGCTATACGAAAAAGGGTACTCTTTTGATTCATCTTCCTATCTATAATCTTCACAAGAGTTCTTCTCTGAAATCCCATGTTTGTTCGTGTGCTGGCATGTGATATTCATGCTTTATAATACAGATGGGGTAAGAAGTTGAATTATGTAATTGCATTTTCAAACGATGGAGTTCGTGACGTGACTAAGCGTTACACTAGGAAGTGGCTGGAGGTTTTGTCCAGGCGGAACATCACCACCGAGCCGGTTGTATCTGCTGCCGTCACCAAACTGACAAATGAATGCCGACGGAACTTCACATCTTTAGCACTATCCGTCCTCCAAGATCGTGATAACAATGAGTCTGAGGAACTTGACAGAGATTTACTTTCTCAAGACGAAGACTATTCCTCTGTCTCATTACCTGGAAGACAAAGTGGGGACAAGGAATGGCGCCTTTCGAGATCAGAAACCGCGCCTGACTCTAACGACTCTCTAAGCACTTCTTCCTGTCCAACTCGCACGTGCATAGACAAGCACGTGACGAGGGTTCACAATGCAATTGCCTGTCTACTATCTCAATGTGTTGAGAATTCGGTTCCTCGGTACAGGGTCTCCGAGATGTCAAATATATTCAGGAAGATGCTGGTGGATGTCAGGAATTCTCCGCATAAGGCGAGGAGAGTTGTAGTTAATCCATTTATCATGCTTTTGTTCCCATACTTTGACGAGTTGCTCCGTGCTCTGTCTCTGAAGTTCGAGATAGGTGGTTACGGTAGAGTGGAGGTGTGTCTAGCTGGAGAGCCTGTGCTTACATCATTGTCATTGCCTGTCGTTTTGGATGCACTGGAAGATCTTATCAACTCTCTGAACAAGATCGATAGTTTAGACGGAGGTCCCCTTTCTTTTCCGCTTATAAAATCAAACCGGATTCATTCGGGAATGGTGGTTGCAAGTGGCGAAGAACTACCTTTTGGAATTGTGAGTAGCGATCTGTGCTCAGTTGACCTCTATGTTGAGACTTTTCTCATATTTACATGATTTGCAAATGGATATGTTTGTTTTCCCCTTTTTGTTGGGTATATTTGCAGGCGACCTCGGCGTTTGATGGATTACGAGCTTCCAAATGGGAGGAACCAAACGGTTCAAAAGGTATAATGACCAATTTTCATGAATTCCCAGTATGATCAGGGCACGATAGCATGATTTGGATACCATGTAACCCTAGTCGATGCAGGTGGATGGATCTTGTACAGACTAAAAGACGGCATGGCATGTGAATTAGCGGCTTATGAGATAACATCTGCCAACGATGCCCCGGAGAGGGATCCAATGGATTGGTATGGTTTCCATAAAATTTCATCGTGGGCTCGCCTTTTCTGGTCATTTATTTATCTTTCATGTTTGTCTTACCCTGCAAAACAGGGTTGTAGAAGGAAGCACTGATGGTGGATCCAACTGGTACATTTTGGACAAACGAGCTTCCCAGGTGTTCGAAGATCGATTTCAGTGTCGATCATTTGAAGTTCAGCGAAAAGGTCTTTCCTGCAATGTCTTCAGGTAAGAATTCGTTTTCTTTCAGAGATTGTTCGAGCTGAGAGACTTTTAGCTCTTTTCGTTCAAGTGAATGGAACTTGATGTTGAGACTGGCACTGGCAGGTTCCGGTTTCTGGCAGTGAAAGATATTCAATCTACTTCCCGGCTGCAACTGTGTAGTATCAACATGTATACACAGTTATTGCTTGAACTCTCTGATTTTGAAGTCATTGATTAGGGCAAAACCCCACACATGTTTCATATGTATTTCAACATCTGTAGCATTGGCATTCATTTTTTATTAGGTAAATGCTATTTATTAGTCTTCAAACATCAGGAACTTTGATGGGTGTTTTGGTCTGTACTTCATTATGCATGAACAACTATCTCTTATCGAATCAGTATTTGTTTGATCGGGTTGGGCCGCATATGTATAACCCGTTGCACTTGTGCTTCTTTATTTCTCTTCTTTTATGTTATAAAACAGAGCTGGGTAATGTGTTAGTAAGAAAACAATGGAAATTGAGGTTACCGAAATCTGGCTGGGTCGCGGATTAAGTCGTTCTATTTAATACGTTTGTGACATTGCCTATTTTTGCACATAAGTCTTACTTGCTGGTTGTTTCTAGGATAAAACAACCTTCTCTTCTAACTCGCCAGTTTTTGTGCGAAAAAACGAGCTTCTTGAATTCTCTCTCGTGTTTCTGCTCGTTTGTTATGTGTTTAGAGAGGATTGGAGACTACTGTTTATAGTAGCCAGGCCCCACGAATGTAAAAAAAAAAAAAATGAATATGTCGTATCCATTCGTTTTTTATATGATTACATTAGTTTATATGCTTCTAAAATTAGTATACTAGTTGCAATTGGAAGTGTAAAACATGCATTTTCATAATTAACGGGGACACCAAGATTTGGCATTCCAAAATGAAATATATTTTGAGTACTATCATAATGTCAATTTTTTGCCATATAAATACTTAATTATTAAAATAAACTTCATAAACCATATTGATATTACATAATTAAGAAATCGTAAGATGAAAACGATGAGAGCAATTATTGAAATATGTTAACACTGAAAAAGAAAATTAAAATAATAAAGATGAAAACGGTAAGAGCATAAATACTTAATTACTAAAATAAACGAATTCATAAACCATATTGATATTACAGAATTAAGACACCGTAAGATGAAAACGGCAAGACCAATTGTTGAAATATGTTAAAACTGAAAAGAAAATTAAATAAAAAAAGATGAAAACGGTAAGAGCAATATTTGAGACATATTAAAACTGAAAAGGGAATTAAAATAAACGACTTCATAAATCATATACACAATATATAATAGCAGGAAGAGAAAAACAGTTGTTCCATTTCAAATTTCCTGCAACGAGAGTAAAAGTAGGAAGGGCATTTTGGTCTTCACAATTACTTTTTTTAATCATTAAAAAGACACGCACTGGGATTCAAACCATGACCACTTTAAAGAAAAGCAAGGATCATAGTCAATCACACTACGCTACATTTGTTGTATATTTTTAAATTAAAAACATATAATAGCGGGGAGGAAAAAACTCTTCCCCAATTTCAAATTCCCTGCTCTAGGAGCCTTTATAGGAAGGGTAGAATAGGGAGTGTTAATTTTTTTTTCTCTTTCCTCTGTGGAATAGGCCAACTTATCGTACACATGCGGATTTAAACGGGACCAGGAGTGTCAATTTTTTCTTTAAGCCCTTTATTTCTTCATGGTGGTCAAATATATATCAAAATGCAAAAACAATACTCCTCTTTATTGCTAAAAAGAAAAAAATTTAAAAATAAACTAATGCATGAATTGTAATGGGCTAACCACTAACCATAAAATAAAAGAGTTGAATGGGCCTGACCTACACGGGATTTGACCATCAAGTAAAATAAATGAACATCATGAGTTGTCATTCTAAAACAAGCTATTTTCTCTAGCATAATATATATTATGCTATTATTTTATATCTTAGTGGCTAAAAATATAATGTATTTTAAAGGTATTCAATGGTTCAACCTCGACCAACCCAATTAGTCTAATTTTTATCATAATGATTAAATTATAGTGTATTTTATAGGGAATCGTTTGGTATTTGTTAGTAAAAAACTAAACAGAGAAAGATCTATTTGGTTATTTTTAACACTAAACGATGCTAAACATTTTCAGTTTCCTTTTGAATTTCTATGGTTTTATTCCCGAATCAGTGATGTGCAAATGGCGAATTGCAGTCATCTCTTTTATCACTATTTTTTATTTTCAAATAGAAAGTTTAAAAGTAAAGAATAATTAGAGTTTGACATGAGTCGGTCAAACATGTTGAATTTCAAGTTTTGGCCCGTTTTCATCAAGTCTAATTTATAATCACATGGTTCCCAGATACCCGATAAAAATCTCAATCCAAACCAGTTTGGCAGGTGAGTCCGTGTTTACCACCATTTTCTAGGAATACAGGAACGACGGTTCCTATCCCAAATAATGTTGTTCGTTCTTGATTTCTTTAAATATTATCATGGCCTGGTAAAAACCAAAAAGCCAGTGTTATTAAAGCCGAGCCGAGCCGCTCGGCCCGACCGGTAAAAGCGCCACCCGGTCACAAAACCGGCTCGGAACAGTCTAAAAGCCGCTTCGATTTTATGTAGCGGTTGACGAGCGGCCGAGGCAGTTAACCGCTCGAGCCGCTAGTCCGGTTTTTGCCATGAGCCATTAAATTTAATTAAAAAAAATTACAAAAAAATGAAATAAACCAAAAACGTCGCGCTCTCAAACTGCATCCTTATTTCCATTTCACAATTTCGAAGGAAAGAGACGAGCTCTGATTAAGAAATGTCCACTATTTATACTGATAACGTTTATTAGGTACCAGTTCTCTAACGGTTTTTAAATGGTCTAATGCCGGTTGGACCACTAAAGTGCGAGCCGTTCGCATTACCGGGTCATGCTCCGGTTCGGTTCTGACAACATTGCAAAAAGTACAATGACGACAAGTTGAAAGTTTTATAAAGCAAATTAATCGGCCAACGGGCTGAGTAAAAGCTAACAACGATTGTGAGATGCTCATTTCCCCAAAACCGACTGGATAGGCGATTTTTAATTTGATTTTATGGAATTCGGTTTCTATAAAACTTACTCCACCTCATCATATTACCAGAATTCGGTTTAACAAGGTAACAGGTACTTGATTTTGGTTCATAAAGTCGAATTTTGATTCGTTGCATCATTCATGTCTCTTTCCTGCTAAAATTCACAATTTTTATCACGTGTTTCCAAAAAAACTATACAACAATAAACTATACACTCCATTACATTATCAAATTTCATACCTCATCTTCCTCCGGCCAGTTGGTCGGGGCCACGCTAATTAAGATAAAGATTGCGTCCATTGAGTTTTGAACCCACAATTTGAAGGAGTAACAAAATACTCTCACCCGCTAGGCTTCAGCTTGTACGAAATTTCCAAATATCAATATAGTTTACACGTAACTTTTTGAATTCTCGGGAGGTCCCCTCCCGCGAGACCATATGTAGTTCCGCCCCTATTTACGAGCGTATCACATTTGTGAAAGAAGAGTTGAAAAAGAAAAATCAAACAAGAAGACAGTAAAAAAGCTACAAAAGAAGTAAACTAGCGGCGTCAAGAATGGACGAAGCAAGCAAAGAAGTGACAGGTAATCTCATAATATATACCGCCGCCGCCGACGACGATGACCGTCTGGTCACGGGAGTGGTTGTAGTAGAGGAAGGACCAGGCGTAGAGCGCGTAGGTGATGCATCCCGTGGGGAGCATGAGCCGGGGGCCGACGACGTTGCACAGAACGCCGCCGAGTTTGGTTTTTCCTGTGTAGGGGAATTCCGAGTAATGGCGACGCCATTTTTCGGTGTGGACGGAGGCGCTGGCGGCGTAGCAGTAATGGCAGGTCCACTGAACCCAATCGATCCTTCGACGCCGTCCAAGTCTTGCCTCAAGAATTCCGTACTCAAGTCCCCCATACTCCTATTCCTCTTCTTCCACAAAGCTATCCGGTTGGAGCTCGACGGCCTCCACCGCGCTGCCATGGATTTCGCCACCAGTGGCGGAGATATTAAACCTCTGCTGTACAAGTATCACTTCCTCCGTGGGATTTACAAGCACCACTGCAATGCTGAGGATGAGGTAGGCAATTAGCTATCCAGTGGGCTTGAGCTTTGTCCAAGTAAATGAAATGGGATGAAAATTTGAAGAATTGCATCTCGGGTCAATGAAATTGAAAAGCCAACTACTGCAATTAGACTCACTTTAATTTTCATTGCAAAACACCAATTTGTAATTGCAATTAGTGAGTACAAGTCAATTTATAATTTTCCTAATGCAGAGCACAAGTCACTAAAACCAACCAAAAACAGAATAAACAAAATCACAAATATTTCTAACACCAAAAACCCTCTAGTTCAAACCACAAACGCAATAAAACAACCCACAAAAACATACCGAAAACCTCTTAATGAAAACCACAAATTCGCTAAAAAATATAAAAAAAACCCCACAAAGCAAACCATAAATATTTTGCAAAGCACACCGGAAACCCCCTAATGCAAACCACAAACACGGTAAAGCAAACCAAAAACATCCTAATGCAGACAACAAATATATTAAAACAAACGAGAAACCTCGCAAATCAAACCACAAAATTTTCGAAAGCACACCAGAAATTTTTTAATGCAAATCAGAAACCTCCTAAAGCACACCAAAAACCTCCTAATGCAAACCACAAACACAATAAATCAAACCACAAAAAAGCAAACCATAAATGTTCTAATGCAGACCACAAAATATATTAAAACAAACCAGAAACCCCTCAATGCAAACCACACAATTTTTATAAAGCAAACCAGAAACTTCTCAATGCAAACCACAAAATTTTTGAAAGCAAACCAGAAACTTCTCAATGCAAACCACAAACACGATAAAGCAAACCAGAAACTTCTTAATGCAAACCACAAACACGATAAAGCAAACCACAAAAAGGCATACAAAAATATGAGAAACCAAACCATAAATCTCTCAATGCAGACCATAACATCCGGTGGTCGTTGGCCGTTGACCAAACTCCGATGACCGTCAGTGAGTAGATTCCGGCGCCGATAGGCATATTCCGGCCCCGATGACTATATTTCGACGCCGGTAAGCATATTCCGACCACGGTGAGCATATTCCGGCGACGGTGGCATATTTCAATGACAAAATAGCATATTCCGGCGACAAAAAAGCATATTCCGGTGACCGGCGACCGATGGCTGAATTCCGGCGACCAAAATTTTGGGCCGAAAAATAAAAAAAATATTTGTTTATTTTTATTTTTTATTATTTAAACATATTTTTCATAATGACAATTATACCCCTGCTTTGATTTTACACTAGGTCAACTCATATAATAAAAAGTCATCACAACCCTAGCTTCCTATTGGTTGGAGACTAATGTTGTTACAATAACAACACAAGAAGTATTGTTACCGTAACTGGTCCCCAAAAATTTGTAGATCACGGGAACTCAGTTCCCTATATCATCGTGACCACGTTCCGTATTTTAATCTCATCACTTAGATTTGAATCCACTCAAAATCAAAGAAATAAATTTGGTTTATGTACAAATTCATAGTCAAAGGGTCAATACCATATCCTAGATGCAATGTTTTAGCTGCCAGCTAGCCTAACTTGGTATCCAATTGTAACAAATAGAAATGTAAGTGCTAAACTCATGTTTTTAAAAAGTTGATGAATTCAATATAGTTAAATTTGAATTAAGTTAAATTTGAATTAAATGGATTAGATATTTGAACATATGTATTGGCTGCTACAACCTAGAGGGCCAAGAGAAACACTATTTATTTTAACTTATAACTTATTAGAATACCTAATGACCATGTAATCCAGTCCGGCGAGGCCGATTATTTTTTCTAGTTGGTCCTTCTAGCTTTTGAACATTTGCAGCAACAGAGAAGGGCAAGGCCCCACAGAAATCAGAGAAACTCATGTCATGGATAACTAGTATGAACTTCTGGTGTTGCTGTTTCACACACTGCAAGATTTTCTCCAGCTCGTCCACACACCATTGGGAATTCGGATATTTGCGAGAGAGGATCACTACATAGATCGTTTGCAAGACCGAGGGCGAGATCTCCTCTCCTCAGGGCAAATCCACGTCATCTTTGTAGGCGACAAGTTTCTTGATATTCTTGAGGTGAAGGTAGAGGTGGCTGAGGATGTTGTCCAGAACATCAGCTCCCTTGAATCTGATGAACACATCGTACTTGGTGGGGTGCAGAATTTCCGGATCACCGACTCTGTTGCTGCTAAAAGGAATCATCTCCGGAGAAGAAGAAGAATCTTGGTCAGGCATCAATGGCATGGTGGAAGTAACTACTACTAGTATGGATCAGAAGCAAGGCTGATTCATGAAACGATTGAAAATAAGGTTTATATAGAGATCACTAAGAGATTCTCTGGACGAACTGGAGTATATATGGAGACGGTCCAAAGTCTTTTCTCAGTCCCCCCTTTGATTTCCGAATGAGGATAGAACATGTTCGGTGCCTCGCCCTTGTCTCCTTCGCCGGAGACTCAATCCCATAAATACTTCTCCTACAAAAAAGGGAAATTGAATAGCAACACGAGCTGTCATAAACCAGTTGATCCCAATAACTCGAGTTATTGGGATCAACTGATTCTTGACATGGTATCAGAGCCTTCTGTGACCAAGAGGTCTTGTGTTCGATTCCTGGTGACCCCCATTTGTTTAGCACATGGCATTCTTGTTTTCAAACCTGTGTAAACCATGTCATAAACCAGTTGATCCCAATAACTCGAGTTATTGGGATCAACTGGTTCTTGACACGAGCAACTAACAACAAGTTATTGGAATCAACTGGTTCTTGACACGAGCAACTAACAATAATTTACAATGTACGACAACAACCAGATGGGGGTTGATTCCCTCTAACTTTCTACAGAGTATTACTATATGTGCCTCTGATCGGGCGATTACCCGAACTAGAAAACTAAGAATCAGCAGGCACTCCCAAGATGCACACTTTGTAATCCTTTCATCTATTCTCAAATACAAGACATGTCGGCGATAAATTCTACCACCTTTATGGACGATATCATGCAAACAAATAACTTGAAGTTCAAGAAATAGCACGACATCCTAGGATCGGGTTATATACTTATATACGATTCCTGCCACAAAGTGAGTAAAAACACAAATGTTTTATTGATAAATGATAATACAAACACAATACGTACAAGAAGTCGAATTGAAAATGCCATAATTAAGAAAATCACACATCGATTATTCGTTTACTTCGGTACACTAGACCAGCCGCAGTTTGGTCCCTAAAAGACAAGTGAAAAGAAAAACAAAAAAAGACACATAGCAGTAGCACACACAACACAAATTAAAGGAAGACCCACGCCACGCCACGCCACGCATGCATAAAGAGTTAAAAGACATGTCCTGATGGAATGGAAGGAAGTTAGTTACTAGAGAAACGACCAGGTGACCTTCAAATCCCCTTGTTCCCCAGAAGGCACCCCAAGCGCATCCCACACCGCCGGCGAAGCATCCACAACGTTGTTCGGGCACGGCGGCTGGTAGTCGTGCTCGTCGTCGCACCCCTCCGTGGAATCGCACTCGTCCACCACCTTCGCCACCACGCTCCTCCCGTTCCCGGCCGTGATCTTGATCCGCTGGAGGCAGCTCTTCTTGTTGTCGAACCACCCGCTCGACAGCGCCACCACCCGCTCCCCGTCCCCGTGGAACTTGTTGTCGCACTCCGACGCCCCGCCCCCGTCCTGACCCTTCTCGAAGCTGTTCAGGGTCAGCACCGCCTTGGTCTGCCTCGTGATCGGCGGCGAGCACTTGTAGGTGGTGTACAGCTTCCCCTCCACGCAGCAGTCGGAGTCGTGGATCTGGTTGCACTTCTTTGGCGGCGGCTTCCTGCCTCGGAGCTTGCCGCTCGGCAAGCAAGTTTGAGGTTTCGCCTCCACCTCCAGCTCGAGGAGGCAGCTGGCGATAACGAGAGTGAATAGGAGAATGGAAATTGCTGCAGCACGACTCCTCATTTTAACTAATTTCACTCTGGTTGGTTCTTGTTAGGTGGAAGTAAGGCCCTATTATATAAGGTGGCTGGGAGCGAGCTTGGCAAGTGGTTTGGGAATTAGATACTGATCTATGAGAATATATAAGAGCGGTAATTCGAGGGAAAATTTATCGTGTGCATCGGCGGGTAAATACTTACAAACTTCTTTTTTTGTGAATTTAGGGATGAATCTAGAATGTAGAGGAGATGGTATCCAAACAACGACAGGAGCATTAGACGGTGCAGTAGCATCATGCATATATGAGCTAGGCGGTAGAGACATCGACTATGTAATATATATATTCCTCCGTTTAGATTCCCTCTCGGAGAAACCGCTCGTCGCAATGAGCAGTTGGGATTTCTTGTCACGTCCTGCTCCCTAGCGGCGGATCCAGAACACGGAAGTGCACTGGTCCGCATTTTATTAAAAAATTAGAATAGTAAAAAAATATAATGATTATAATTTTTTTACAATGTAAATTGTATACGACGGTATTTTAATTTAGCGAATACATTAATAATGGAGTCCACATCCATACCAATAGTATACACTGTTTCAAATAAAATACTTGAGCAATCGACTAGAAATCCATCGCTCATTTTGTTGCGCAAATCAATTTTCACATGTTTCGTTGTTGAAAAGGTTCTATTCGTATTAACTGTTGAAACGAGCAGCATCAACACTAGACAAATCAATCTACTAATCAATTTGCATTGTGTTTCCATCCCTATATCCACCAGCTGCTCTAGTAAATTTTCCAAGATAACAAACCTCATATATGTTTTAGTCTTTTACGTTTTAAACTTTTTGAATTTTTAGGTTTCATTGTTTTTTTAGAGGAATAACCTTTGGGGTTAGAATTTATAAGCTAAATTTAGAGTAGTGATTTTGAATATGTTCATCTGAATTATTTTTCTAATTATACCCAATGTTATTTTAAAATAACAACGACCCGAATATCTAAAATCGAAAAATTCATAAAACCTATATTAACTATGGATCCAGAGGAGGGCTGGGCCGGGGCCCGGGTGGCCACCCCTGGATCCGCCACTGCTGCTCCCTTTGATGCAGGCCGCTAATCTAGTCTATAGCCATCAACAAATGTGCGGTTACCACTGGTAAATAGATCGTCAATTCTTCTTCTGATAAGCATCTATCTTCTTCAAATAGACATCTCTCTCTATGATTTGAAACTATGGTTGTTTAGGGGAGATGACATCCAATGTGTAGCTAGGTATTGTTGATTGAATGTTATATGTGGCATAATTTGTGTTCAACTAGTGTTATTAATGCTTATAGTTGTGGTTTGGATGCATGATATGCAGGGCTGGAAGTTTGGTACTGGTGTTTTGGGATATACCGAATACCGTACCGAATTTGTCTATATTTGGTATTACTGAATACACGTATTATTTTTTGGGATTGGGATTGAGATTCAATTTCAATTGTTATTCGGTATTAGGGATTACGTGATTGGGATCGGTATATACCGAAATACCGAACAATACCAAAATATAAGTTAGTGTGCATTTTATCCTCTCAACTAGACTTTTTCATTCACTACTACACGACCCTCAACCACCAATCTCTTGTTATTTTCATAACACCAAAAAGCAAACACTAGTATTAGTCTTCTCTCGGCCTCCAATTCATCAAATTAAAGATTTATCAATGACAAAAACTTGAAATGACACCTTTCCTCCATTCTACTTATCCATATTCTAGTTCCAGCCAAACTCAAGACTCTTTGCTTAGTCTCTTTGTCTTATATTAAACAATCAAATCTAATTTATATATTTAATTATTAATTGCAAATGTAATTAATTTCGTATTCGATAATACCGATTGGGATACCGAAATATTTAGGGATTGAGATTGGGATACCGAAATTATTTAGGGATTGAGATTGGGATTGATTTTAGGATGTAATTCGGTATTCGGTATTTCTGTATTTGATATTGGGATACCAATACTGTACCGATTTCCACCCATAATGATATGTTACGCTGCATGAATTAGCTCTACGTAAGTCTTTTGTAGATGTACGTACCCAAAAGTCATGCCTCCTTGAAATAAAAAATAAACATAAATGATATAAATTAGCCGATGGAGTAGGGTTATTTACTCAAGTATGGATCATCGAGAGAAGCCTTTTACCTTTGAAAGTACATTCACCGGTGGGCAGAAATCATATCATATATATAATCCATAGAGGTCATTCACACACTGATCTCCAGAGGCGATTTGTCACCATTGTTAGATAATGTATATTTTTTAGATAATGTATATTTTTTATTCAAACTTTTTTCATATGCTTTTATATTATTTAAACCTATCGAAATACTAACAATTAGCCCAATGTTAACTTCCAGTTAGTAATTTTATTAGTAATATTGACTTGGCAACATGATACTGACTTGGAAGAGACTCATGAAGGTCAACATGCCAAAATTTTAATATTTTAACTAAGGAAAGAGTTACAAAATTATTCATGATTACATAAAAAGGAAAATATTTTGATGCATTATGAAAGATTTGGATAATTAATAGAATTTTAATAGGTTTAGATAATATAAAGAATCTGAAAAAGGTTTGGATAAAAAATAGACATTACCCTAACTATTACTAGCATAGGGCCTGGCCTATTGGCCGGGTTTTGCTTTGAATTTCAAATTTTGTCATATGATCTGTTGGATTAGTTTTAAGTACGCAATATTTGCTATTGAGGGCTAGGAGGATCATCAGCCCACACATACAAATGATCCACAGAGGTGCATAATGGGGTAAAAAGTGGGTTGATATATTGCTATTTGTTTGCTTTTAAAGATCAACATACATATTATTACATAGAGTCATGTTGACCATTATATCATATATTTGATTCCCGAAATTCAATATGTATATGGAGTATAAAAACTAATATCTGTTACATGAGCGATAAATTATCTTTTATCAACATTCTTACTTATAGAATTGTTGTATTTCAAAATTCATTGTAATTGATTGAATTCACACCTATACGTAGAAAAAGGACCGGTCCAACCCAAAAATACGTCAAGAATAACTACTTAGCAAGCCATTGACTAAATATTATGATAACATGATATTCATCCACTTGCATAAGATCTACTTATCAAAGGCTTAAATTAGAAAAAGAAACTTTATTCTCATGCTTAAAACGTTAGATACAATATAACTATCCATTGGTTAAAAGAAATGAAATCATAAACATCTCTTGCTCGTCATGCCAAAGGAATAATCATGACCTAAGTATTGGAATCCGGATCAATATGCGGCTCATTCATCCATACTCGACTTATTTTGCATGAAATATTCAATTAAACTTGACCAAATCACTTGAGAATTGTATTTCCCTAATATCATTAAAAAAATCCGACCATTCCAATGAGGCACGATCAATGTTAACAACGTTTATTAGTCACTTAACGAAGTTTACACCTAATTTCAACTTTCAAGTGGGCGACCACCTTCAATTCCAATTGATTTTCCGTTCTTGCTATTATAAGTCGAGGCTCTCATTACTCAGAGTTCAGACCCACTGTGTATACAACAAATTCCTCAACAAAAACAAATAACTGAATGATTAATGCCTTAGAACCAATACAGGAGATTCAAATTTCAAATATAATAAAAAGTAGGTAAAATTGGATTCAATAAGTAAGATTCTATGAAAATAATGGACAAAGTGGATTTTATAATGAGTTATATAGCAGCTATATACCCTTTCCCTAATGTAAATCACAATGGAACGCCTAAATAAACTACAATTTGGGTGGATACATTAGATACACATGTAAAAAATACATCATATTAAGGACATAATTAGCAAATAGCAACACAGCATTGAGCCGATTATTAGTAGAAATAAAATGAAAGATTTTGGCAACAAAAAGCGTCATGGCAATGATCAATGATGTTTCGGCAGCATTATTGCAATCAATTAAGAGCAATGAAGAGAAGAACAATTATTATCATCCGTGAAGTTTCGTCTTCAAAACTATACTATACTATGTGCGTTACTGCTGTTTTCTGTGTATCGGGAAATAGGAGGATTCGACAATGTAAGAAAACGCAAGTGCACATACACAATACATGATTTACATGGTTCACTAACGCAATGTGTGTTAGCTAGTCAACGGGCAGAGAGAGCCAGTTTTCACTATACTTGAGGAGATACAAATTACAGAGGAGTATGAGAAGTATTTATACTACTTCTCCAAGGTCTAACCCTAATCCAATATGGTAAAGGAAAAGCGATTACAACCAGGCTCAAAACACGAACCCAAATAACATTGAGCCCCCGCGTGACTTCCATTCGTAGCGGCTGATAGTCCGATTCAAGTCATATCAACAATCTAATAGCTGATATGTTACTCATTTGAATGAAGTACCTTAATTTTCACAGCCATGATCATTATCATAATTCATCGTATAAATTCGCAATGCACGACCCGTCTTGGACTTCCAAAAAGGGCGAATGCTCCTTGAGGAATTTATTTGAAATTAGTTAAATATATGCAATAGATCAATAAAAAATTCAAACAAATTAGTTTTGAAACCCATTCCAGGCTCCCAGCTCTAAACCACCATGGAACAAACCACAACAACATATAAGTGCATGACAAGTTCATCTAATTGATTTCCGACCTTAACGTGGGGGCATATGGAAAAGAGAGAGGGAGGGATGGATTGAGAGAACTTGCAGACAACTTGAATTAGTTGATGGGAAAGGGAATTGCGAGAAGGGAAGAGAATGGGCGGGGAGGAGTTAATTAATTTCAGGGCGACGGTTATATACTTACATACGAAGAACATGGTGAGCAGAGAGAGAAAGCAGTAGGCGGGGAGAGAGAAAATAACTGGCACTGTGGATTTCGGCGAGAAGGTAGGAAGAAGATTGGAAAATAAAGTTACAATTGTGTCCCTCCGATTAGTGCGGGTTGTTTAGTATGAGCTGACGTGGTGAAAAGGATATATTGACATTCCCTTATAGTAATTTGTAGATTATATAACGTTGTGCTTCATTCTGATTCGCCACTCTTGCTACT